TAATGTATTGTGTGAAACTTTGGGAGACATTGTGAAGTGTGATTGCTGGGAGGGAGAGCAGGGTGTGGATAAATATCTACCTGTAACTGAACCAGTGATGTCTACCAAATGTGAGATAGGGGTGAGTAGTGATGTGCCTGTATCAAAATACTGTGAGGCTGGGATGTCAGAGAGTAAGGGGGAGGAGGAAGGTGAGAGCCAGGGATGTGTACCACTAGTCGCAGTGGTAACAAGTCAACAGTGGGTCAGGGCTGCAGCAGGACAGTCTGAGGTGCTAAGTGAGATTGTGAGAGGAGGGCCTGCCCTGGAGAAGAAATTATGTGAGTGTGTGCAAAATTCTGTATCTGATCAAGGGGGGTCAAATGTGTCCTGTGAAAATGTATGGGAAAAGCCTTCCAGCGAGAGGGGGCTGAATGAATATATGTGCCAATATGTGCCTGAAGCAGATGTATGTGATGTGGTGGGTGAAAATGTGCAGGGACAGCAAGGCTATGAGGGAGGGCAGAGGGTGTGTGAGCTTGACTCTGCGGCAGGCTTAGCCAGTTTCCAAAGTTCGGTATGTGTGATGACCTGAAGTGAAAGTGAGGGGCACGGGCAGACTCAGCCTGTGGGTCCAGGAAGGATGGCTGCAGGGAAACATACTGTTGGAGGAACCAGGAACCTTGTCAGTTTATCACAACTCACGCATACACCTAAGCAACTTTCTGATTGTGAACCAAAGGTTCAGAATCTGATAGTGCAACAAGCCCAGCAGACAGACCGCAAAATGAAAGAGATGATGGGTGTTGATACAGCGCATCTATCCTGGGAGTGTTCTCTGTCTGCTTTTTTGTGTGCTTACCGGGGAGTGCTGCAGAAATCCATTGGTTTCTTCCCCTTACAACTACTACATGAGCGCCGTGGGTGTGGTTTAAGGGATGTTACCAGAGATCGATGGGGAATTGAAACAGGCAAATCAGGCATGTTTGAGGATGTAGCTGTGGTTTGGACTGATCACAACCTGCTGCAGGTGACAGGTAACACTGATAAACTGCTCCATTGGAGCCCTATCCTCCAACAACGGTATAATTTCACTGCCCAGCACAAAAAGGGCAGATGGCCTGTCTCGGCAACTAGAGGGTTAATGGTAGACAGATAAATCAGCCTGTGGCTGAATTTTTCTGTCCACCATCTTAAGGGGGAGGTGTCATGCCAAAAGCATGAGTTGGTGTTTGATGTGCGTTTATATATGTTAAGAGTAGTTTTTTTGTAAACCTTGGGATGACATTTATTGTGGTCTTTGATCTTGCACCAGGCCTAGACCATAAAACATCTAGATAGCCATCACCAGAGCTGGACACAAGGAATTTCATAGAGTGGGCAATAGACTGCCAGACCAGCCCCCTCTGATCCCCCCCCAGCGGTCTGCTCACTGAGAAACAACTAGTTTAGATATATGAGGGTGTTGGACTATCCAGGGAAGTCAGTTATTCATTTTTCTTTTTGTCAGTAACTTCTAGGAGCCCTATACCATCTAAGACTCCCACAAGAATTCTATATGGGGTAAATATATGTAAGGAATTTCTTGTGTTTTCTCCTATTTTATTTTATGTACTGTTTTGCAATTTGTTTTCTGTATGTCATTTATTTCTGTATTTTGTACTCAGCACTGTGAATCCTTTTTGTCAGATTAAATGTTTACTTAATCAGCTTGTGTCTCTGTTCTCTATGAGCTCCACTCTCCAGAGGAAAGCTCAGGTAAACACGTTACCAAAAGGGGTTAACTATATATGTTTTATCAGTAAAAGTAGAACTGTGATACTATAATTCTCCTGTGTGTGGGGTAACCTAAGACGCCCGGGTTTAAAAAAGTCTTGGTGGTGGCAGTAGTACTAAGGGGGATAGTGTAGAAGGGATTGCAGGGGTTAATTGAGTGGTTGCTGGGACTAGCAACAGGTAACCAGGGGTCTGGTGTCATTAACCCTGTCACTTCCACACTCTCCCCACTGTCTCGGCTGGGCCTATAGCCCACGCTCGTGACACCTGGTTTGGCAAGTTTGAAGCCTGAGTGCAAGGTACATTCTACTTTTCATATATATATATATATATATATATTTATAGTCACTCAGTCAAATACACTTATTAATATAAATTAATAGAACAAGCAAAAACCATAAGACTAATGGAACTATAAATATATTTTGAACTTTGTACCTGTAATTCTCTCTCCTGAACTGTAGGTTGATTTAGACAGTATCACAGTGTAAGGGGCGCTGCTTGTTTGAGCTGATGCCCCGTGACTTGGCTGCAGCGTGGTGCATGATCCCTCTATACCCTGTCCATTGGAGTAGGCAGTAATACAGAGCGGATAGAGCAATGCCAAAAGAAAGATCAAGTTCTGTGTGCACTGATTCATCTTTCTAGAGAAACGTCAAGTTCTGAAAAGAAATGTATTATTTTTCTGTTAGCCAAATTAAACAATGTAAACTTTTTAGCAAATAAACCAAGTTTGTAAACATGACGCAGACACAGTTTGGAAGATTTTCATTTGATTCTAACTTCTTCCAATGTAGAGAAAATAAAAACTGCCCAATGAAATAAATATTAAAGGACTACCCGGTAATCCCAATTTACTGCTGGATGACAAAGTGCCCTGCACTGCTTTTGGTCTAGTAATTGTCATTATATAAATGTATGGATACCCGATTTAAAGTGTATTGGATTCAAACCCCAATATGAGCCAAGGTATTAGTAGTTTTAGTAGTAGTATAAGCAGAATAGACTTTAAATACTTTAAATGTAATAAACGTTTTTATGAGTATGGGCTAATTTCTATTACTGTTACTGCCTCCTTGCTACACCTTCAGGACCTGAATCCTTTATGAATCCCACCTGTAGTTATTATGGTGACTATACTGTCCCTTTAAGATTTACTATAAAGAGCAGGAGATAAAAACATCTAAAGCAAGTTAGCGTATGATTGACAATAAAACCATTGATGGCATGCAGGCAGTGTTAATCACAGCCATGGGAGGTGTGGCTAGGGCTGCATAGACACCACAACTGCTTCATTAAGCAAAGGTTGTTTTGATGCCTATACAGTGTCCTTTTATTGGCTGAGTCCAATGCAACTGGTGGCTGCATAGCATACTATAGAGAGGCAAGGATTTGATGTTTCATCGAGTCCCTACCCCTTCCCTCATAGCCCTGCTGTCAGTAGCATTGGTTTTGGCTGATAAGGAAGACAGAGCACTGCACAAAGCAATGACAGATTGAGAAGGAGATAACTTGAGAGCAGAGATAGATATAAGTGGAGTGGGCTTTCATGCAATACTGGGGATTGGCTGGGGAAAGATAATTTGGATTGGGAAAAAATAACTTGGGAGAGCAAGTGAGAGACTCAATGAGGATAGAGATAGATAACTGGATTAGTGGGATAGGAATAGGTAACTTGGGGACTAGGGATTGATAACTGGAGGTGAAAGGTAGGAATAGACGACTTGGGGGCTAGGGAGTGATAAATGGGGTAGTTTATAAAATTGTCTGATATGCAATTCCCATTATGCTCAGCCTACTTGTAAGCCTGGTTGAGCATCATGGCAATTGCCACACCCTCCATGCTTGCAAAGTTAGCTTTTAAAGGTGGACATCATGGGAATTACACTTCATAATTTCACTTTACATTATTTATGGGGGCTAGTGACCTAGGTTTGATCTCAAACTACACAGGAATACGGAATACTGACACTGTACACAAACACATACATATAACCTTACTGACATGCATGCACACAAGAACAACAACATAAAAACTGACATTGCATTCACATGCAAAAACCCACCATGTACGCATAATTACATTTCAGGACCAATCAGAGCAAAATTAAAGGTTGCTAAAAACTTACCATTTGATGTTTTCTTCTAAAAGTCTCTACATTTACCTGTCAAGCAGAACTCTGATTGGTTGGTTTGAAATCCACCAATCAGAGTGCTCTGTGTCATTTTACACAGCGTGGGAAAGTTCTGTGGAATTTTCCCACGCTGTGTAATTTGACTCATAACTCTTTGATTGGTTACTTAATCCACCAATCAGAGTGTTATGAGTCAAATTACACAGCGTGGAAAAATTCCACAGAACTTTCCCACGCTGTGTAAAATGACACAGAGCACTCTGATTGGTGGATTTCAAACCAACCAATCAGAGTGCTGTGACAGGTAAATCTAGAGACTTACCCGTCAAGCCCTTCATTTACCTGTCAGAGCACTCTGATTGGATGGCTTAAACTCAATTTGAATCAGAATGCTCTTGCGCTTGTCGGTGGGCGGGGCAAGGCTTTATAAGCCTTCCCCGCCTGCAGAGCTCAGTTCGCGCAGAGCCCTCCATGGGTGAACATGGATTATTATTTTTTGTGTCTTTTTTAAGTGCGCCGGTTATTATGGCTTTTTATTTGCCTTTTTGGGCTGAAAAATAAGATTTTTAGAAGAAAGCAGAAAACATCAAATGGTAAGTAAGTATTTTTCAGGTACTTATTAAATGGCCCCACCTCATTATTTTTAGGGTGAGGGGGGGGGTAGGTAGGGGTTAATTTTGGGCCGGAGGGGGCAGGGGCAGATCCAGAGCCTAATCTCGGGAGGGGCACTGGTAGTGGGGTGATAGGGGCTGTAATGGGGAAACAACAGCTGTAATTGAGGAGTTAGGGGCTAGGAGATCTATTGGGGGATAGCGGCTGTAGTGGGGGGATAGTGCCTGTAGTGGGGGGGATAGCATCTGTAGTGGGAGGGTTAGGGACTGTAAATGGGGTGTTAGGAAATGTAGTGGGGGATAGGGGCTGTAGTGGGGGGAATTGATGCAATCGGGATAGGGGTTGCAATTGGGTGAGAGAGGCTGTAGTGGGGGTAGCAACTGTAGTAAGGGAATAGGGCTGTAGTGGAGTGATATGGACTGAAGTTAGGATGAATGGGGCTGTAGTGTGGGGGTATGGGCTGCATATAGGGGTAGGGACTGTAGTGTGGGATAGGGGCTGCAGTGAGGAGTAAGGGACTGTGGTAGAATGGTTAGGGACTGTAGTATGGGTGTTAGGGGCTGTAGTGGGGGAATGGGACTGTAGGGGGGCTAAGAGCTGCATTAGGGAATTAGGGACTGTAGAGGTGCATATGAGCTACATTTGGAGGGTAGGGACTGTAGTGGGGGACAGAAGCTACATTTGGAGAGTATGGACTGTAGGGGCTGCTATAGGGGGAGTATGGGCTGCTGTTTGGTTAACAGGGCTCTAGAAGAAGGCTTAAGGCTGTAGGGCATAGGGACTGAAATTGGAGGGTTAGGGGCTGCAATTGGGGGCTGCAGTAAAATGGAAGGAGCTTTAATAGAGGTGTTAAGGGCTGAAGTAAAGGGCTTTAGTTGGGGGTGTTAGGGGCTGTAGTAAGGGGCTTTAGTAGGGGAGGTTAGGGTCTGTAGTAAGGAATTTAGTAGGGGAGGTTAGGTTCTGTAGTAAGGACTTTAGTAGATGAGGTTTTGGCCTGTAGTTAGGACTTTAGTAGAGGAGGTTATGGGCTGTAATAAGGAGTAAGGGGATTTAGAAGGGGGTGTTAGGGGCTGTAGTGGGGGGTTAGGGGTGTAGTAAGGAGTAAGGGGCATTAGAAGGGGGTGTTAGGGGCTGTAGTGGGGGTTAGGGGTGTGGGAAGGAGTAAGGGGCTTTAGGAGGGGGTGTTAGGGGCTGTAGTGGGGGGTAGGGGTGTAGTAAGGCGTAAGGGGCTTTAGAAGGGGGTTAGGGGTGTGTTAGGGCATAGGGGTTGCACATAGTGGGGCTGAAAAAAAACAATAGTGTATTTCTCCCTCCCTGTGGGTTATCTTGGGTCAGGGAGGGGGGAATCCTGTTCCCTGTTGGTCCGGTGGTAGATGTGCTGCTGTGCAGACAGCTCCTTCCAGCAGTCGCTGAGGTAAGGATCTGGGCGGGGCCTAAACAGGGGGTGGAGCCTGTCGTGAGTGGGCGGAGACTGGTGCTGCCAATGTACAAGGGCTGTGGATAGAAGTGCAGCAGCAAAGCAGGACCATGGAAAGCCCTCTCATCGTGCTGCACTTCAATCTTGGCGGGGCAATTGCCCCGTTGCCCCCTCTGGATCCGCCACTGGGAGGGGGTGACTAGGGGTTTGGGGACCCCTAGTCACCCGGAGGAGGGGGGGGTTATTTTTTTATTTAGGGTCCCCACCCACTGCTCAGGGGTGGGGGCCAGGGGGGAGGACATTAGGTCCCCCCTCTAATTAGTATTTTAGGGCCCCCACCCACCGCTCAAGGGTGGAGGCCAGGGGGAGGACATTAGGTCCTCCCCCCTCATTCTAATTTAGGGCCCCCACCCACCGCTCAGGGGTGGGGCCAGGGGGAGGTCATTAGGCCCTCCCCTTAATTAGTATTTAGGTCCACCCCCACTGCTCAGGGGTGGGGCCAGGGGGACGACATTAGGTCCTCCCCACTCATTCTAATTTAGGGCTCCCACCCACTGCTCAGGGGTGGGGGCAAGGGGGGAGGACATTAGGTCCCCCCCATTACTTTACTTTAGGGCCCCACCCGCCGTTCCGGGGTGGGGGCCGGGGGGGGCAATAGGTCCCCCCTTCAGGTTAGGAGGGGGAGGTGGATGTTTTTTTTTTTTAGGCTGCTCACTGTTTAATAGACATGCCCCTACTCGCGGTATAGCGAGTAGGGGCATAATTTACTAATACTAAGTAATCTTTACTTAGTAACAGTAAATTTGGCTGAAAGACCAATTTAGGTCTTTCAGCCTTTTAGTAGATAGCTCCCTAATACTGTGGGAATTAGGGAGTTATCTACTTATTCATTCCTGTCATTACATTGACAGGCTAAGTAACTTACATTTTATATGAATGTATGTTACTTGATTGTTGTAAGTGTTGCAAATGCTTACAGCTGAATCCTGGCTATGTTTGTATACTTTTTATTTAAAATTGTATACAGTGTAACATTCTTCTTCTTCCACGGGGTAAGTATATTAGTACTTAGGCAATACTGTGCTTCGGAACTTCGGCACTTCAGCAATTCGGAACTTCGGCACTTCGACACTTTGGAAATTCGGAACTTCGGGACCCCGGTAATTCGGCACTTCGGCAATTCCGAATTGCCCAAAATTCGTCCAAATTCATATTCGGCCCGAAACTAATTGCACATGTCTAATAGGCACTTTAACTAGGCGCCATTTCAATTTTGTTTGCTGAATCTTGTATCTGGGATTACACTCAAACCTGCTAATGCAATCAACAAGGGCTCCATGCCCCATGCCCCATGCCCCCCTTACTACTCCCCAATGGTGACATGTCAGCGGTGGAATTCTTCTGATATGTGCCCTTCCGTACCTTGGGCCTTTGGTCAATAATTATACCTTAATAAATGTACTTTGGTCACTTAAACTATAATATCTAAATATTTTACCG